TAAGAAAAAGCCATTTACCTGTTATGTTTTATACAACGGCCCTAAGGCTGGAGTATATCTAAAATGGGAAGAAATGGTACATTTAATTGAAGAAATTAAATTATTTCCTAATTTCGGAATACCCCTTTTTAAGGGATTTTTTGATATTCAAGAAGCAATTAACTCTGTTATGGAGAACTACGAAGAAAATTCTTATATTTCTCCAAAAGTTCTTAAATATCATAAATATTTGAAACATTTGGAGAATTTTGAGGATCCTGATTTTCTCAAAGAAATTTCAGACCCAGAAATTGACACATCATCTTCTGTTCAGAAAAATGAAAAATTACAGACTCCTCCTGAGACAGAAAAATTTCTACCGTTCTCTACACCTAATTTTGCAGACACCCTTAGAGAACAATTAACTTCTACTCCAAAACAGAAAAGTTTACTTATTTTGGAAAAACCAAAAATTCAACCAATTTCTCCACCAAAGCAGCCTTTTCTTTCTGCTGAAGAAGTAAATTTAAAGACATTCATCCTTCTTCAAGACTGCTTAGCCCAAATTACCAATAACCAAGTTCTATCCAAAGGAATTTCCACCACTTGGGAATTTACTTATGATATTTTCAAAATTTGTCAAAGTCAATACCCAAATTGTCCTGAAAACCAAGAAGATGAATGTTTTTGTAAATTAGATTCTGCCATTAGAAAGGCAAATTTGTTGATTCCAAATTTTAAACCTTTCAAATTTAGAGATTATCCAGTCACAATTCCATCACTTATCAAGCATGGTCTGGTAAACTCTATAAATTCTCCACCACTTTCAGATTATTCACCCTTTTTTGTCTCACTTTTATCCGATATATTTGAAACCATAATCCCAGAAGTGAGAAAAAATTTCTTGATAAAATTCAATTCCCTCTATCCAGATTTCGAAAGAAAAATTCCAGCATATCATTTACTGGAAATCTTCTTCCAGGACATTGATGATGAATATCAAGAATTTTGAAAAGAAAATTCTAAAATTAAAATGATTAAAATTGAAGACCCTATGGAAAGACAGTTGGAAATTGTCAGGGAAAAAATTTTGGCCAATGATTTTGGATGGTCCAAGACAAAATTTGCTACAATGAACATTTTAAGAGAAGACGAACAAGGAAAGATCTATTGTGAATCGTCAATAGCATCCAAGTTCTTCTTCCCATTTCAAGTTGAGCACCCAAGACCAAAGCTGGTTCAGACTTACAGGAAGCACAAAGAAGTACTCAGAAATTTCAGTGCAAGCCGTTATTCAAGAAATTCTTCATCAGATTTGTCACTCTAAAAATGATGAAGAAAACAAATTCAAGACCCACCAAGGAAGTTTTTCTACAGCAGTAATTTTGGAAAAAGGCTATTGATGAAAATTTGAAAAGACAGCTACTATTGAGAATTGGTATCCATAATGTACATGGGTCCCAACTTTTAGACAAAATTAAAGACTTCATGGCTAAGGAATGGGGGCCTGTCCCTTCCAAGAGATAAATCCAATTTATCTTTGAGTTGTAAAAAGATAAGATAAGATTCGTTCCTATCTTCATCTTTATTACAACATGTGAAAAATGTAATATATGTACAAAGTGGCGGATGAGATAAGATTCGTTCTTATCTCCATCCTGTAGATAGTAGTTAGCTGTACATCCTAGAACCTTCAGTCTGTTGTATAAATAGGTGTGATGATCTCTCCGAAGACACACACAACAATCATCTACCTTATGCATCCTAATGAAAACCCCTTTGTTCATACGCTCTAAATTCTCACACTAAATTCCTTTGCTCCAACTTCTTCCAATTGCTACTAAGAGGTATAATCCCAACTTAATCTTCTTACTTTGTGTTAGTTTTTATTCTTATTTTTAATCATATGTATATCTGAATCCAATAGACGTAAATCCTGTTTGAGCCGAAGCAATCCATGTAGTCTAGAAAACCTTTGGGGAAGAAGTACCAGGAAGGGAAAAGAGTACCCAAATAAGGTTCATAGATGTTGTTAGGATTGTAGACGGAGAAATCCGGGAGTAGGTTAGGGGTGAAAAGGTGAGGGTTTAGATAAAATATGATTAAATAGTAAGCATAAAAACTAATATGAACTGATAAGATGAAGAAAGATCATATCTGACAGTAGTAAAGAGAAGAAGAAGGAGCAATGCTCTAAAAACTGTTTGAAAAAGTAAAAATTTTGAAAAAATAAATTCTCAAAACAATGCCTGCAGAAAAGACAATTTGTAGAAAAAATTGAAAACATGGACAAAAAATTTATTCAAGACTATTTTGTAAACAATGAAAAATTTCAAGTTGAAAGAAATTTGGGAAACATATTTACGACATATTATTTAGATGAAAAATCTAAAGATAAAGAATTTCTTGAATATACAATAACTATTCCAAATTTCAACGAAAAAATTTATTATCTACTTAAAAGATTTCCCTACCCAGACTTGGTAAAACAATTTATCAAGTATCTAAAATTTTTCACATTCCAAGAAAAATTTGTATTAGACAAATTAAAAGAACAATTGGAAATAGATTTTGAAGAAGAAAAATTAGAAAATTTGGTTGAAGAAATAATCGAGTTAGTTTCTCAATCAAGACACATTAAAAATTTTGAAGCAGAATTTCATCAACAGCATGCACACATAAATTATGAAATAGGAGATTCCTACAGACATTCAACTCATGTTTATCCCATAAATTACGACTCTGATAATTATGAAAATTACTACAGTGGAGCTGAAACTGAATAATTTTAGCAATTTTGAAATGTTTTCAAATATCATTTTTAATCCTTACACCTTAAATTTAATTTTCAACTCCTACACTCTTCATCCAAATTTATTTCCGAATAAATAAATTCAAACAACATTTCTACTTTGTATTATTTCCTAACTAATCCAAAAAATATTAATGCCATGTACTACATGTCATTGGTTAGTCATTTCAACTCTTACACATATCCAAACTCTTCATCAAAATTTATCTCCAAACTTATAAATTCAAAACACTATTCAACTTTGAATTATTTCCTAACTAATCCAAAAAATAATTAATGCCATGTACTACATGTCATTGGATAGTCATTTCAAAAACTACTACATCACTTCTTTTTCATAAATTACTATCCTAATTTTCACATCTTTTATTTTTCACAAACTAAACCTCTGCGGAGGCATACCCCCACCATATATATATATATATATATATATATATATATATATATATATATATATATATATTATGTATCCTTTGATTATAATGAGAAAATGAGGAAGATCACACCTTTGCTTTCTTCTTTGTCTCTTATCTTTTTCTCTCTATAATTTTTCCTTTAATCTATAGTATACAAGTTAATGACAATTTTTATCACAATAAACAAAGTTTCTGAATCTCATGTTCCCTATAGTGATCTCAAATTTATTGAATCAAACAATGAGATGTGATTTTATAACATTCACATTGAACTAATTTCACCTATGGCCTGATGTTTTCGGTAACTTTGTTATTCTTAGTTCTAGATTATGAAAATCCAATAGTTATTGCACATGGACTGTGGTCCACACAACTGTGTAGACTATGGTCCAAAAACGATGTCGTTTTATTTACTTTTATTTTTTTGCGTGTCCAACTGCAACATACATTTTTATAACTAATAATATACATTATTCTAAAACATAATGTACATTATATTACCTTAAATATTTCATTATTCTAACACGTAATACACATTATTCTAACACGTAATGCACATTATTCTAACACATAATGTATATTATGGTTTAAAATAATGTACATTATATGTACTCATAATATTCACGACGTTGTGTTTGGATTGTGGTCCACATAGGTGTGTGGACCCGGTTCACACAATAATTTGCCATCAAAATTGATGGATAGAATCCTAGAGTATTGAAACTTACAACATTCCAAATGGAAGTCCAACCCAGATACCATTAGACCATATAGTCTTTGTTAAGAACAATGATATTTTTGAATTACAGCCCCTTTATATTTAATTTCTAGGCATGGTCTTCTTATCTTTAACTATGAGCGCAAATTATGCTGTGCAACCGAATGCACTTTGCAAGGTGCATACGGTTGCAAAACGGCACCGTTTTGGTTAAAAAAACGCGCGTCCCACTTAAAGAAGAAATCAGGTTCGATTCCCGGCAATAGAATTTTTATATATCCAGAAATTCATAACTATATAACCACAATTTCATAACTATATATCCACAATTTCATAACTATATATCCACAGTGAATGAATGAAGTAAAAATCCACAATGAATGAATGAATGAAGTAAAAATCCACAATAAATGAACTAAATATCCACAATATATGATTGAACTAAATATTCACAATGAATGAACTAAATATCCACAATTTCATAACTATATATCCACAATTTCATAACTATATATCCACAGTGAATGAATGAAGTAAAAATCCACAATGAATGAATGAAGTAAAAATTCACAATGAATGAATGAATGAAGTAAAAATCCACAATGAATGAACTAAATATCCACAATATATGATTGAACTAAATATCCACAATGAATGAACTAAATATCCATAAATTCATAACTATATAACCACAATTTCATAACTATATATCCACAATTTCATAACTATATATCCACAATAATACTATTGCTGAGAGTCGAACCTGATTTTTTTTTTTTTAAGTAGGACGCGCGTTTTTAATCAAAACGACGTCGTTTTGAACCCTATGCACCATGCGCATGGTACATTCGGTTGCACAGCATAACTATTGTTAATTTTCAGCACCAATTAATTCGCAGTGTAAGTAGACAATATAATAATGGTATGTGAAGGTAAAGTAATTTTTGACATAATTGAGACAATCTTTTCAAGTAGAAGAGTAAAATGTCCTTTACAAAAGTGCCCTCCATGCAGAATCCATAATTCTATTGAATTAACTTCCTACTTTATAGAAATAAAAAATAGAATAATAATAATAATAAAAAAAACCTTCCTACTTCATAGGCTGCCGTAAGTGCTAGTTAGATAATGATACACCTAACTTGTTAGGTTAGACCTTACTTTATCAAATTTAGACTATACAAAGCTTAACTAACATTTTAGAGGCCCAAAATGCTAATTAAAAAAATTCATTACTAAACAAACATACTAAAAAAGTATATCAACTTAATTACGTCTCTATTTCATCACCCTGCCCAGTCCATTGCCGCATTCTTTCTGATGCTTGTGCCACCTGAAATTCAAGTAAAAAAGATTTTTTTTTTTTAATCAGGATAAAAAATTGTTGAATTGTGTATAATTATGTATGCTGGAAAGAAAATATTACCTCCTCATCCCAATTGGTTTTCCATACTATAATGCACAGAACAATAGTTTGCAGAGAAGTTCCCACAATCATGCCCATCCATATTCCCTACAACCAACACCATAACAAAAATTGTGAGTATAATTTTAGGCAAAAATAAAATAACTCCAATAATAAAATGATCGAAAACTTTAACGATGTCATAATTTTAAAAGAGTAATGTTACACAACCCTCCTAAAATTTCGCTCCTTCTGATATAGGGCGTTCATAACTACTTTCTCTAAAGCACAAAGAGTCAATATAATACCAACTTTCCAACTCATGATAACCTCCCATTTGGAAGAGTCACTTCGTGCCACTAGAATACAATGTCAATTGGGACATAGCGCTATCTAATTAGTTACTTTAGTGTTTAATTAAAAGTATGTGAGATCAGTTAATTCATGACACCCAATAATTATAAGTCAAATCATAGAAAAATATTATGGGAAAAAATAAGAGGGAAAATAGAATTTTCCTTTTTTTTTTTTCTTAAATGTAAACTATTTATATAGCATAATTGTATTTTTGTTCCGTCAAAGAAATATAAGAGAAAAGTAGAATTACATCATTTATCAAAATAAATTATTTATCTTTTTCGAAAATATGACATTGTAGAAAAAAATTGAATTTGACTAATTAATTAATGCAAATATTTATTACCTGAACTCCCAAGTGTGCTTTATAGCCTAGAAGGAAACCAAAAGGGAGGCCAATGATGTAATAACAAGTGAGATTAATGTATGCCACAAGTGCTTGCCAACCTCCTCCTACAGCCACACCTATCAAAAAAGAAAGAAATATACGGAAACATCATATTGGATGTTTGGTAAATAGCTGTTAGCTGATTAAGTTAGTTGAAATTATTAGCTGATCGTAAAAAAGTGTTTGATATATAAATTAGCTAATTACATGTAAAATAATTTTTTCAAAAAGCTGATCGAAAAAAGCTACTTTAATGCAACTTTTTGAATTTTAATATTTTGGAGCAATAAGTTGTTACAAAAAGTTAATTAATCAAACACTCGTATGGATTTTTTAACTATGTCAAACAGTTAATATTGGTTAAATAAATCAAAATTGACTGATAAGCTAACTATGTTACCACAGAGGATCCTTATAAGATAAATAAAAATTAGTGTTTATTTTGACCCAAAGAAAAAAAAAGGTTAGGACCTGATATAACTGGCTGGACACTGTTAAGCAACATGGTTGCAGCGAGGAGATAGGCTAAATTGGAAACAGCTGTCTGCATTTTGACAGTGTCAGTGAAGAAGACAGCAAAATGATCCTTTGCAGCTATGACAATGGCCATGCTGATGAGCCCAATCAAGAGAGATTCAGCCACTGTAACAAACACAGAATACTTGGCTGCTCTTGGGTGGCCTGATCCTAGCTCATTTGACACCCTAACACTGACCAAAACACAACATCAACATCAACATATAATATAATATACCATATATGTCTCATGCAAATAAGCTATCACTATATATATATATATTCTCTACCTATATACCTTATTGCTGCATTGATTCCTATGAACAACATGCCTTCCCATCCATTAATGTTCATGCTGAAACAATAACAATGAACACACTAATCAATCCCGTTATTGGTTTTTGTACGTGTTAGTTGGTTTGTTGGGTGGAGGCCGGTAAGGGTCAAATCCAACACACTAACTCTCGAAATTATGTGGTGGGTATCAGTTGTGACTGGTTGGTGCTGGGAGGACGGTAAGGGCCAAGGACAGCACCCTGATTCTCGAAAATGTGTAGCGGGTATCAGTTATGATTGATTGGTGCTGGGAGGGGATTGTTGGGTGGAGGCTGGTACCAATTATGACTACTTGGTGTTGGGTGGAGGCTAGTCCCAGTTATGACTAGTTGGTGGTTGTAAGAGGATTATATTGTTGGGTGGAGGCGAGTACCAGTTATGACTGATTGGTGCTGGGAGGGGATTATTGGATAGAGGCCGGTACCAATTATGACTAGTTGGTGTTGGGTGGAGGCCAGTACCTGTTATGACTGGTTGGTGCTTGTAAGAGGATTATATTGTTGGTTGGAGGTTGGTACCAGTTATGGTTGGTTGGTGCTGGAGGACGGTAAGGGCCAAGTCCAGCACCCTGGCTCTCGAAAATGTGTGGCGTGTATCAGTTATGACTGATTTGTACTAGAAGCTAGGATGGTAAGGGCCAAATTCAGTACCTAATTAGCTCTGGAAAATGTATGGTGGTATAAGAAAATAAAGTTACCAGATGGAAAGTGATCCAACAGCAATGACAGGATCTTCAAGGTGACCAGTTAGAACAATAATGGTCATGAAGTACCAAATCTCTAAGCAAAGCATGACAGCAGAAGCCACAGAAAGCTTAACAAATGGCCACAATTCCTTGAAAGCCAGCAAAGACAAGCCCTTCCACCCATCATTGCACCATCCAACAATGTACACCACTTGAGCCAAAGCCACACCCCAAGCAGAAACGTCGTACGCCGCTGCTGCACCACTGGTGCCCCATTGTAGAACCCGAACGAAAAGAAACAGCAAGCCGGTGTGCATAGTGAGAGCCACAAACCCCACCCAAGCCAGAATCCCAACTCTGCTCTGTGCTTGTAGAAACTTTTGGGTAGGGAAATTAATTGCCAGGGAGAACATTTGAGGTATGATTTGAATGGAAAAATCCCCGGCTAGCTCCGCTATATCATCTCTTTGCCCCAACAGCTTTAGTATTGGTGTCGAATATATGTATAGTGGCAACATGCATATACACGACGCCCCGAGAATAATCCATGATCTTTGCAGGTAAACTCCAAGCATTTCTATCTGCCCAGCTCCAAATGCCTGTCCACATAGAGTCTCAAGTGCACTACCCATACCTAGCTGATATAATTTAATTATATTTGTAAGACATACAATATATATATATGAATTGAAAGAGTGACATATATATAATGGAGAGAATTGAAGCTAGCTAATTACTAACCAAGAATCCAAATGAAAAGTTGGCAATGACTGATAGAGAAATGGCAACAGCAGAGAGCTCCACATCCCCAAGATGGCCAACAATGATACTGGTGAAAGAATTAATCCCATAATTACACAAAATATTAAAGGCAATAGGTCCAGCAATGCCCCATACCTTTATGGATTCAACCCAAAACAAATTCCTCAGGTCCTCATAGCTTCGAATTGCGGGATAGTCTCCCAACATGGTGGAGGGAGCTTCGTGCAACTCCGCCTCCTCCATTGCCGCCACTGAGGACGACGTTGAACCACCAGAGTAGAACAATGGTGATTCCATTTCTAGTGCAAAGGCTGCTTCTGCTTCTGCTTCTGCTTCTTTAGGTGTAGAGGGTGGTAAGCTATGGTACTTAGTTGCCTCCCTCTGCTCCCTTTTCATCATTATCTTTATCCCCCTCAGATCAATGAACATTTATTTATCATAATAATTATCTTCAATTCCGATCCTTAGCTTTCTTTCTGATCTGGGAAATTTAATTTTCTTGGAAATCAGGTTGACATTCAGAAGAAGGGTTCTGCTATCTTTCTTTCTGGGCCGGGAAATTTGTTGGAAATCAGGTTGACATTCAGAAGAATGTTTTTTGGGAGAAGAAGGGTTCTGTTATATTATCAACTATGATCAAGCTAGATTCTGACAAGTGTTGGTTGCTAAACAAGTTGGCCTTATATTTATCATTGAATTGTAGTTTAGTTAGTTACATGCAATGGTTATTTTCATTGGACATGACCAAAGTTTCAATCACAGTGTCTGATTATATCTTAGGGTGGCTACTGGCTAGCTCAAATTTAACTTGGTTCACACTGCACCAATATGTTTTGTTTCTTTAATTTTATCTTGGGTGTGTTTACTTATGGACAAAATCTTCTATGAGATCCGTGACATGGATTGGATTTTTTTTTATATAGATTAGAAGTTTAGGCATAAGTAACTCTTCAATCCCTAATATTACTTTTTTTTTGTTTTTAAGAACCTAATACTACATTTTGATTTAAATGATTTTTCATCATAAATATTATACTTTGGGTAACAAATAATTTATTCATGATTAGCATTACATTTTCACTACTACAAAAATAGCATATAACATTGAACATACCACGTCGGATTTAATAAAATCGCCTGTTGGTTTTACGGCCACGAGGTAGCCGGACAACGGGCTAACACAACTGTAGAACAATTTAAATGAGAACAAATTGATTGAATAATTGCAAGAGAATTGAATTATGAACACCCATCCATGTGCCCCCAGGGAGGTTTTTTTTTTTTTTTTTTTTTTTACAAGATTTACATGCCTTGGGAAGGAAAGAAAAAAAGTTAACAAATTTGTTCTTTAGGAAAGCTTCCTAAATTGCCATACTTCTTTTCTAATACTGAACACTGAACTCTCGCTCAAAATTTAGAGGGAATCGCTAGATAATCTCCTCTAACCGCCTCTGGGCACGACACTCGGTCGGGCGCACCAACCCGACCGCCCACGTCAAGCGGCCAGCCGGGCCCAAACGGATCCAATGCCCCGGCGAGGAACCTAACTGCTGAGTCCCTCCAATATGCTCGGTAGCGTGGTCAAGCTGTGGGCAAACTCTGAGCGCTGAGACATGCTCCTGACCGGATACCCTGCTCGAGGGTATCCATCACTAGTCCCTCACTTTCCCGAGGTTCAGCAAGGCGACGCGACTCAGGAAAGTAAACCTTCATGGGATTTTTTTTTTTGGGGGGGGGGGGGGGGGGGGGGGTAGTCCGAGTGCTAACTGTAGGTTGAGGCTTTCAAGCATCTCTGTCAATCTGGCAATGTAGCTAAGAAACATGTTCGCCTCGGTCGGGCAGTCTCCGCAATCGTGACGACTCCTCATTCTTCCCAATTGGCCAACTTCCTGGCTTGTTGCTCGAGGGTGCGGTCATTAAATGAGGCGTATTCAATACACCTCCTCATTTTCCACCGGTTAGAATTTCAAATTTTCACCTTCCCCAACCCTAAAGAAACTGTCGCGTTAGCCGTCACGTCCGCCTACCATTCATCATCTGAACATAGAATGCAAAATGTCGTTAACAGCACATTAACTAAATTTTTTTTTCCCGTAAAAACGACACCGTTTTGGAACGTGTTTACAAAGCACGGTGAACACATTTTCACGGCATAATTTGCGCCCTCCGGGAGGGTGGGGTGGGGGTGAATTAAGCTTTGATTCTATGGGTTGTCATGTCCAACCCCAAAAGGGACTCTACGCCATCCAGAGGAATGTCCCAGACAGTAGGCCCCCAATTACGAAAAATTATATCGTGCACCAGGGCATTGTGTACCTTGACCCAAAACGACGTTGTTTTTATAAGTTGGAGGAGTTGACGCGACGGACACCGTTTCGTCCGTTTAATTCCGTTACATTTTTTTTTTTTTTTTTTTTTTTTTTTTTTTTTGCGTTTATGTGTATTATATATTATGGTAGATTATGTGTATTACGTTAGGAGTTTATGTGTATTCTACTATACAATTCTATATATACGAAACAGAAAATTTTTTAGAAGGCACAATGCATTGTACATCTTGGTGCACGATATAACGATTAACGATTGCCCAATTACCAATTTTATGCTGTAGGGACTCTATACAATAACTGATATTGTAATTATAATGAATAAATTGGTGTAAAAACACCAAGTAAATGACAAATCTCAATTCTCAAATTAAAGCTCATTAAGGGAGCGTTTGGAAATCGGAAAATGACTTCTGAAAAATGTTTTTCTGGTTTTTAGTGTTTGGTAAATGGGGAAAAATGAGGTCAATAGAAAATGATGCATTAGTCAAAGGAAAATATGTATGTTTTGGGGGAAAATAACTTCCCCTTTTTATTGGGGAAGTCATTTTTCAAGGGATGCACATGCAAAATTTTTCAGGCTTAATTTTTTATGGGCTATTGCGAGTTGGCCCACCAAGTCCGCAGGCTATGGTTCATGCAACCATAGCCCGCCCCATGCGGGTTGGTGGGCCTTGCGGCCCATCCGCGGTTTTTTTTTTTTTTTTTTTTTTTTTTTTTTTTTTTTTTGAATTCAAAGTTTTAAAAACATAAGTAAAATCTACAAATAATATTAATTTTTTGGAGGTAATAATATTAATTTTTTCGCATTTAAATTTTTTTAAAAAATTACATTTTTTAAAATGTTAATATTACATACATATATATATATATATATATATATATATATATATATATATATATATATATATATATATATATATATATATATATATATATATATATATATATATATATATATATATATATATATATATATATATATATATATATATATATATCAAAAGAGTGCTACTCATAGAAGGATTTTATCTAAAGTATCAAATAGTTAAAATTTTGAAGTATTCAATTCTTTTCATTTTCCTGTTGATTTTCTAGAAAATGAACCAAACACTGCACACAAAGACAGTTTTTCGTTGTGTAGCCAAACACCGGAAAGGAAAATATTTTCTGAAAAATGACTCATTTCCAGAAAACATTTTCTAGAAGTCATTTTCCTACTTTCCAAACGGAGCCTAAGTCTTGGGTTTTCTCTTATATGGGCATACAATCATACATGTCAAGCAATTGTTATACCATGGACAAGGGTAGGTCAGATCACCCTCCTGAAAAATTGATTGACTCGAAATCTTAAAATAGCCTAGCCGAATTGATCCGAACCCGATATTCAAAAATCGACCTACAGTCCTAACGACGTCGGTTTTGTTATTTCGGGTGGGGTATATTTTTATATCTGACCCGCCCGAATATCCGAAATTATGCATTGTAGACCCTGGTCTAAAAATTATGTGTCAATTAACATATTATGTGTATTTCATTAATAAATTATGTGTCTGTAAATAAATTGAAGACACATAATTTATTAACTACAAACAGGGGCCAGTTTTTAGATTTTTGTGGCACCGTTCTGGTAAATAAATGAGTCCCTACCAAATTCACAATCTTTAAAATCAAAACTGTATTTTTTTTTTCTAATAATAAGGTGGTAAAATATTGCTATGCGCAAAGAAAGAAACAAAAAACATATTATGGAATAAATTACAATTATAAGAATAATAGTAGTGTGCGCAACTCGCAATGTAAAAGGATTAAAAAAAACACTTAAGTTTTGAATCTTTGACTTCCAAGTTGAAATACAATAAGCACATGTTCCTACCCTTCTTCCATGGAGCCTTTTAAGTTCAATTGAAAACTTTTAGTTTCTATTTATAAACTAAATAGGTAAAAATTAAATATTGGACCCTCTAAAATTTGGGGGCCCTCTAAAATTTGGGATCCTGTGCGGTAGCCTAGCTTGCACAGCCTAAAATCTGGCCCTGCCTTGTACCCCCAACTCGTACGTGCTACTACTTCAACATCCTGAAATCTCAATCGTCTTGAAAAAATTTGCCTCTGCTTTTTCCTCACCAGAAAAATAAAAATCTAATCTTTGAAGATGATTGAATTCGCCATTTCCAACAGGAGATTGAGGCAATCGGGGGAGAATTTACGTCGAATTCGATTTCCGGATGGTGTAAATAAGCTTGGAGGAAATCTCCGGCGGATGGTAGGTATGGTGATGGCCGTCCACCATGTTATTCCAATTAACCCGGGTCAATGTGTAACCCGCGGAGCCTTTCGGGTCCTGTATTGAAATCAAAGTAATATTTCTATCATCTCAATCCGTCCACCCTTCATATATATATAATTTTACACGCATGTTTGTATTCTCTAAAATGAGAATTAATATGTAATTGTTATAATTCGGCCTATCAACTCGTTAGTTCTCGCGTGATGTTTGCACGGTAATGCTTGGAGATTGTATGTATATGAGTATATAGAATAGATAAAAGGGAGAGGAAGAACACAATCACATGAGACCATCTTTTCATTAAGCATTCACCCTCAATTTATAGGGATGATTACAATCTTTCACATCCTTTAACATAAGTAATGAAATAAGTAAAGGCTAACAAAAGGTCACAAGTTTAATGGCCATAATAATAAAATATTTATAACACTCCCCCTTGGCCATTAAATAACTATACTCATGCCTCGTTAAAAACCTCGCTAGAAAAACCCAGTGGGAAAAACCTAGACGAGGAAAAGAGTACACGAAGTATGTTAATCCATGTGTTGTACCGGTTGCCTCATTAAAAACCTTAGCCTAAGAAAACCCGGTGGGAAAAAACTTAGCCAAGGAAAAGAGTACAACCATAAGCCTTCTGGGCATAATCTTCAAGATTTTAAGGGTCTTCAGGACTATCCACTCAAGGGCACCAACATTG